CCGCTCGTTGACTTTTATGATTTGTATGTAGAGACGTATTTAGGGCAGAGTCGAAAAAATATATTAAAATGCATAACTTTAAATTCTGAATTTGACTCTAGTTTTATAAGTAGAAAATGATCTGTGTTTAAGTTTGTTTTTGAATATGTTTCTGTTGATTACTGTATATAATATGTCGTTTTAGTTTTTACATTATGTGTTATAATTTAACGAATTTTTTCTGTTCTATGAAAGTCACGATTTTAGTCTTTTTATAATAATAATTATTTTTTAGTTAATTCTTAATTTATGGAGTATTTTAATTTGTGTTTCAAACCGAATAAAGGGACTTGTTTTTAGCCATCTTGATGTGTGAAATGACATGATATAAGTCCGTGTGACATAGATGGTGAATCTTTAATAGACTCCAACCATAGATGATGGGAGACTTCAAACCAAACATACATATTATATAACCACCTTATTTAAACGTTCACATGTTCGAGATGTGACACCTTTATTTATTTATTTAGGTCTATAACAGCTTAAATACTGTGGATTAACTCTAATGTTCTTTAGGACTCTGTAGATGGCTTATTTAGGATATCTACTCGTGGATATTCTTCTATGTTAAATATTTGAACTTATTCGAAATTGATTCTTAATCTCTTCAAGAACTGTATTCATTTTATTTCTATATTAGTTCCTTTTTCAATTTTCTGGAAATCTGATAGTCCCTTTTTAATATAACAGGTGTGGACACTGCCAAAAACTTGCCCCTGAGGTACTAGCTTTCTTCTCTGAAAAGAGGGACATCATTCTATTAGAATATATTTATTTGACATTTTCCACATTCTTGATAGGCGAGTAAGGTCTGTGTACATACTACCCAACCCAAACCCCACTTGTCGGATTCAGTGATTGTTGTTGTTGTTTCCACATTCTTGTAAGCCATTTGATTCTTAATAAAACATTTTCTTCTCTTTTTGTTTTCCAGTATGAAAAAGCTGCTTCAGTTTTGAGTAGTCATGACCCTCCAATTGTTCTAGCTAAAATTGATGCGAGTGATGAGGCAAATAGAGGACTCGCAACGCAATATCAGCTCAAGGGCTTCCCAACTATTAAGATTTTTAGGGATGGAGGAAAGAATATTCAAGAATATAATGGTCCTCGCGAAGCAGATGGTATAGTAACTTATATAAAGAAACAATCAGGTCCTGCATCTCCTGAAATCAAGTCGAAAGAAGATGCTGCAAATGTCATCGATGAGAAAAAGATCATTGTTGTAAGTGCTGTTTCTTTTTATCACTTACTCATTTCTCATTGTTTAGCTTCTTTCTCAGCATTCCATTTGTTCCTAAAATGCATGGATTTTCTTTTAGGTTGGTATATTTCAAGAACTCTCAGGGGAGAAATTTGAAAACTATACAACATTAGCTGAAAAACTACGAGCTGACTATGACTTTGCTCACACCCTTGATGCTAAACTCCTCCCTCGGGGCGAGCCAGTTGATAAGCCCACTCTTCGTCTCCTTAAGCCATTCGATGAATTCTTCGTTGATTTTGAGGTTGTATTTGTTGTTCCTTTAACGATTATGTGGTTTGATATTGACCTGTTTCTTCTGGTTAGACTGGCACTTAACCTGTACTTATGCAGGATTTTGAAGTCGAAGTAATGGAGAAGTTAATTGCAGAATCTAGTATTCCTATTGTCACTTATTTTGACAAAGATCCAGAAAACTCAATTTATGTTAGCAAGTTCTTTAATGGTATCGGCGCAAAGGTACTTTAGTCTTTGCTGCTTTAATATTGTGAAATCTACACTTTCTGATACAAGAAGCTATATCCATTCTATTTCAATGACTAACTACTTAAAATTTGTTATATGCAGGCAATGCTTTTCGTGAACTTTAGCACTGAGCTCGACACATTTCAATCCAAGTATAAGGATGTTGCTGTGCTCTACAAGGAGAATGGTCTGAAGGGATTGAGCTTTCTCTTGGGAGATGTTGAGGCTGGTGAAGGTGCATTCAATGTTAGTAACATGCTTTAAGCCTATCTGATAATTAGTATATTGGCTTTCCAAATGACCATATAAACACATGTTAATTATTCGTTTGCAGTACTTTGGGCTGAAGCCAGAACAGGCACCTCTGATCATAATAATGGAGAATGATGGACAAAAGTATCTCAAAGCACATGTAGAACCCGATGCCCTTGCTTCTTGGTTGAAGGATTACAAGGTGATGAATCTGCATTTTTTACTTGGGATAATTACTTTATTGAGCCACCCTCCAAAATAATAGCCACCAAATGTATATATTTTGTATATTAAGTATAAATATACATATAATATACACATGATATACAAAATCATTAATCAGTGTATATGTTGGCTAGCGCCTGTAATGGGCGACGGGACAAAAATGAAAAAAGCCCTTTTGTGTTTATCAATAGAGCAGTATGTCTTTTCATTTGGAGTTCTCTACTGTCAATTGATGGCTTGCTAATTTCCTGTTTTTACTCAATATTTCTTTCCTTTTTGCGTTGTTGCAGGACGGAAAATTGAAGCCATACGTAAAATCACAACCTATCCCTGAGGTTAACGACGAGCCTGTGAAGGTGGTTGTTAGAGATACTCTCGAAAAAATGGTTCTCAACTCCGGGAAAAATGGTGTGTTAGTGTTTCTTGATTATGTATTTCTACTGCAGCTGCTTAAGGGGCGGAGGCACAAGCCGAAATACGGGTTCGGCCGAACTCAATAGTTTTTGCTCAAACAATGTATTTAGTGTTTAAAATTCATTAAATATGTACAAATATTAAATTTAGAACCCAGTCACTAACACTTGGAAACATCGTTCTAAAATCCAGAACCCATATGGTTGAAATCCTGGCTCCGCCTCTAGGCCTGCTTATCTAAGAACTAATAATGTTTTCCTTTTGTTTTGACTATTATTTTTTCCTTTGTTACAGTACTACTAGAGTTCTATGCACCTTGGTGTGGCCACTGCAAGGCGCTCGCTCCAATCTTGGATGAAGTAGCTGTCTCGTTCGAAAACGATCCAAATGTTCTGATAGCAAAATTAGTAAGAATCTTTTACTTATTCCTTCATTCTTTCTATGATCATTAAATAGTCTAAACTATGATCATTATGTTAATTGTGTTGTTCTTCTTAATCAGGATGCAACTGCAAATGATATCCGTACAAATGAATTTGACGTTAAAGGATTTCCAACATTGTACTTCAAATCTGCTTCTGGTAAATTGTCTCAGTATAATGGCGAAAGAACAAAAGAGGCCATCATTGAATTTATTCAGCAGAATCGCGACGATAAAACTGCTCAGTCAGAAGCTGATTCCACCACATCAGAATCAGTAAAAACAGATTCAGCAAAAGATGAGCTATAAAGAGGTAATAAATTCTTGTTTTTTTTTTTCCAACCGATGATTATAAATATTACTACAGTTTATTGATCAAGGGAAGTTCTAATATGTTTCTATTTTCTTATGTTCAGGTTTTTGGCATTCTTCTGTCTCAATAGAGAGTACTCAAGTTTTGTTGTGGATTTGCTGCTTTTTTTTCTCTTTTATTTGAGTTTAGGTGTTTTTTTTTTATTACAGTAAAATGGTTGTATCATGTGCACCATTTTATTATGTATGAGGTGCAACTGAATCTAAATTATTATTATTATTATTATCAATTCACAAATTCCCAACTTAGCATTAATAGTCTTCACTTCTCTTTGCTCAATGCTCCAGTGAAATTCAGTTCTCTGGTGAATAATTACTTATTTCAACTAAAAACATAGATTTTAAATTGGTATTGTTGGTCATGAAATTATGACACTATTAAATATCGCACTTTAGTAAAACCATATTTTAAAAAGTACTCAATTACATCTTAATAAAAGAAAAAGACATTTAATTTCAAAATAAAGTCTATACAGTTTTCCATATCTTCTTATCTAAGTGGGTGTTTGGACATAAGAATTGTAAAATTCCAAAAAAGTGATTTTTTTAGTTGAAAATGGTATTTGAAAATTAGAGTTGTGTTTAGACATGAATACACTTTAGAGTTATTTTTGAATTTTGTGAGTGATTTGAAGTGAAAATTTTAAAAATAACTTGGAGTTTTTTAAATTTTCGAAAAAATTCAAAATTCAACTTTAAGTGAAATTTGAAATTTTTATGAGAAATTTTGACATGCTAACTTTGAACTTAATTCTAGATCTACCTTTACTTCAGATTTGTTACGCATTTCTTTTTTTGGCTGAAGTCATTTGGTTGTTATTTAAGATTATCTCACTGACAATTCCTTTTTTTCTCTTTTATCTTTTTGCTTGATGTCAATGAGCTGGTTTTATATGCATCACCTCATTTATGCATGCAACTGACTCGCAATTTGCAATTAGAGTAGCAATTTTTAACAATCCTTTCTCTAACATTTTTACTTCTTATCCGATACCCGACATTAACTCAAATTCACACCAAGTAAGGTCTATTGAAACTGATTTTTTTAAATAAATATTTACGTGTTTAGATAGACGTACTGAAATTGATAATAAACAGTTGATGTGTTTGGTAAAAAAAGCTGATAAATAATTTTTTTATTAAAATGACTAAAATATCCTTAAAAACTTTATAAAAGATTATAAATTTAAAAAAAAATTTAGTAAAGAAAAAAATGAACAACGAATATGGAATGAAAAGTATGTTAGAAAATTTATTTTGAGAAAAATATTTTATGAATTAAAAAATATTATTAAGGATAAACTAATAAAAATCTTAATTAAAATAAAAATGCTTATAAGATAAAAATCCATAAGTTGAGGGGACCAACTTATGACACTGATTTTAGCTTATAAACACTTGACTTATAAGCACTTTGAGTATTTATCAAATGTGTAGATAAACCAAAAAATATTTATAAGTCAATTTGACCAGCTTATAAGCTTAGCCAAACACCCTCGTAATCTTTTACTTTCTTAAACTCTCAGTTCAATTTAATATGCTGTCATATAAATACCCAATAAAACATAATATCATATATAACGAAACAAATAGAGTACATGGTTTGACGGAGACTTCCTACCCTACTTTATGCAAAAACAACAATAACATAAATGAAATTAAAAGGACCTAAAGACTAAAGTTCTTCATTCTACATCAAAATCTTAGCTTATCATGTTTCTGCAACACTAATAGAACTGAAGAAAATCCACATAAACAGAAATGAATAAAAAGGATATGGCGGGTGCAGCGGTAAGTTCAGAACCCGTAAACCTTAAATTCTGACTCTGTCTCTGTTATTGAGGACGCCATGACCATGGTTGCGGGAATTAACAGCAACAGTATCTTTCTTCATTCCCCAATCATGAATCCTCAAATGAAGTTCAGCAGCAGCAATCAAGAAATGAACAGCTTGAATTGGTTTCAAAATTCCCAAAATCTCCTTTAGAGTCCTCAGCCTTAAATCATCAGCTTTTTTTAAAGCCTCCAATAAACCTTCCTCCTTTTTAGCAATATTTGTCTTCACTTTTTCCTCCTCAGTCTCCTCTACTTGTCTTCCCTCTTCCCTCATTAATTCACTCACTATATGTGATAATTCAACCATTGATGTATCTGCCACTGTTTCTTGAACTTTAGCTAATCTTTCAGTCAATTTTTTCTCTTCCCTTAATGTCTTATTTTGTAACTCATCAATTTTCCCAAGTTGAATACCAGAAAGATCTCCTAAATCCCCTCTACTAATTCCTCTAAATAAATCATGAAAACCAGCTTCAAGTTGTAAACCCGATTTCGAATACAATAAATGAAAAGCCATACTTGGTCTCCACCCTCCAATCCATAAAAAAGCATCTTCAAGATTACTTCTCCAAGTTGGATTTAACATACCTAAAACATCTTCTTTAGCACTTCTTGATTTTTCTTTGTAATAATTCTCATAGTGGTGTATGACACGTTGAATCAACGGCGACAACATTCTACGATTGTTTTCTTCTACGCCATTGACTTCTTTTGAGGCGCGCACAAGCTGTTCCAAATCTTGGTTCTGTTCAACAAGCCATGACTCGAAAAACTTGTGAAATGTCTCGCGATTTTGAACCCCGTTTCTGCTATTATTGCTCATCAAATGTTGGTCCATGGTCTATATGCTGTTGGGAAAAAAAATACTCCTATTAGAGATGGAAGTACTAATTAAAAAAAATTACTTAATAAATAAATAAGATGCTAGAATTGGCAAGAAAAGATACCGTTTTGAGGGGCACCCTATGGAAGACGCTGACTTCAGAGTAGATTTCCAAAGTGCAAATAGCATAGTAATTAATGTCCTATGATTCTCAAGATACGACGAACTATACTTAGAAATCTTGTATTGTGTATTCAAAATCTTACAACTGCCTCTGTAAGAGTTTTAAGATTTTTAGTGAAATATAAAGACTCAAAAAGGATGAAGCCTATTTCGTGAAAAATATGTCATACTTATTACAAAGATTAGACACATCTTTTCAGAAAATACTGTGTCTTTTAAACTATAGGAACATTAAATTTTCAGAACCAAGTATATATAGTATATCAGTAAGTGAGCATACCTGTTTGTTTGCATGTGAAAATAAAATTTAGATTTTAAGAACAAAAGGTTCAAGATATTTATAATAACGGTAGAGAAAGCCGACAAGAAGTAAAAACCAGAGCAGAAGCGGTGGGCTAAGTAAGGACTCAGTATCTAGCTGGACTTTGTAATTTGACAGTCATAATATTAAGTTCTGTTCATTGTATCTGTGGCTTGAAACATACATCCAATAGTCAACCACATACTAATTTGTTTCTAGTATTATTTTCCGCATCAATATATGTGACACTGTAGAGTTTAAGAAAAATAAGGTGATTTTTTAAACTTTGTGGTCAAAATATGCTTTCATAATATTTATCTTATCTATACTATTTATAAAGAATATGAGAAGCAAATCAATGTGATGATATCAAGTGTCACAACAAAAATTTAACATGACAAATTAGTTAGGTTTGTTAATAATTAGTTATTCTTTTTTAATTTGAATTAAAAATAATTAAATATTTATATATTTTTAAGAAAACTATTATAAAAAGAAATATATATATATATATATATATATATATATATATATATATAAATAAATAACTTCAAGGTCATGCAATATGGATAAGATCATATAACTAAAAATATTATAATAGATAAAACTAAAGACAAAAATATAAACAATAATTTCAAGAATAAATAAAATATATAACGATATAATTTAACTTATTATGTACTAATTAAGCCAATTGACAAGTTAATAAAAAGTCATATTAGTAAACGTATAATACTAAGTATTTATTAATTTAATAATAATAAAGAATAAATAAGGAACAAATAATTTTTTGATTACTATATAATGTATCCTTTGATTTATAGATTCTGTTATATTTCTGTACACTAAATTAAATAATAAAATAACTACTAATTTATTAAAATAGTATAATATATTAGATCATAATTTTATAAGATTAATATTCTGTCATATTATCCGTACATCGCGCGGGTTCTAACATTAGTTAAGGATAAAAATGAAAAATTTAAGAGAAATATATATTTTAGACACTTCCAAAAATAATAGCCAACAAAATGTACGTATATTTTATACACTTTTCGACTATCGAATGCAATTAGTTACAATCGATCGGCAAGTTTTGCATTTTGTCCAAATATAAAGTTAAATTGTTTCTTAGATATAGAATTATATTATTCTTGAGCAATTTATGCAAAATACCTATTGACCTTAAACTAATTACTCTTCTCTACCCATTTGAAAACTAGTTACAATATGTACCTACCCAATTAAAACTAATAACCCAACCTACCTACCCATCCCACTTTTCTTACCCATTTGGCTTAACATAGCTTGATTTGGCTTGAATTGGTTTGGCTTGATTTGGATTGAATTGGCTTGGCTTGACTTGATTTGGTTTGGCTTGGCTTGACTTGACATGAAATGGCTTGGCTTAGCTTGGCTTGGTTTTAGTAACTTAGTTTGACTTTATTTGGTTGGAAGGGCCGGGCATTTAAAAAAAAATAGGTAGAAAACTTTATGGGTAGGAGCGAGTAAATAGTTTGTGGTGAGTGGGTATTTACAAAAGATCTTCATTATTCTTTTGGAATAGACTAATAAGAAAATAGTATCACGTTTGATCTTTAAACAAATAACCAACTGAATTTACTGTTTACTTTTTATCCAGTATACGTAAATTATATATTAATTATATACGATTATACATATATTATAACTATTTAGGTTAATTCTACTCGAGGGAAACAGTTTTTTCTTCACTAGCAACACACTGTTTTCCGCGGAACTTTATTTTTAGCACCACAGACTGTTAGTCCACATAACTTTTTTCTTATAGGACAAGAGATAAATTAACCTAACCTCCTATTATTTATTTAGCTAGCAAAACTCGATTGTATAAAATCTCTCCTTATGATATATTCTTGCAATGATGAATGAATTTAACTACCGTTTGGGGATAAGGCTTAGCTCACATGATGAATGTCTCATCTTTTACCGTTGAGGTAGAGGGTTCAAACCTCATTAATAGCGTAACATTTCCTCTCCTTCTCCTTCCTACATATTCCAATCAAATGAAGAAAGAGAATTATTTTGTAATAGCTTGTGTTCCGCCTTATTTTGCATGTCCTAATTTTATTATGTTGAACCAGTATATTTATGCTTGAACTAATTAATTTTAGAATAATAGAGTAAAAGTTAGATCAGATGCATGCCTTGCAGTGATAGGGATGATTATTACTATTAAGCCGTTTGGGAAGTATTACAGTTTTATGTTTTATTCCCTCTATTTAATTCTTGAGATACACCAAATAAAAAATAGAGTAATGCAGTAGTAAAAGATAAAATCATACAGGAACGGCAAGATCCAGATGTCTTCATTTTTCATTTTTCAAATGGGAAGTAGTACAACTGGAAAATACAACAATACAAAGTAGAAATCACTGTAAGTACAATTTGCCTTGGCGGTGAATTTAAAAAAGAAAAAGAAAAAGCAAATGCTTTAATCAGGATTCATATTTTGTAGGCAAATTAAACTTATTAAATTCTTTACATGCATTATACTATGTATATTATAAATTATGGGATTCTGGACCACAACAAGTGGGCATATATATATATATATATATATATATATATCTACTCATTGCAACATCGGTCCATCGTCATAGTCTTAAATTTGCACCGATCATTGTGCCTGTTATGATGTAGTTTGTTCCACTACTTTTAGCCTTTTCTTATGCCAATTGGATTTGTGGCGGATTTCAAGAGGATGGGTATAATATTGTGAAGAGTCGGATCTAAAAGTACGTGTTTAACTTTAGTCTTTTACTATCAAAATCAATAACACTTTTGAAATTATAGGTTCAAAATTATTATTTTTTTAATAATTTTCACGTATATATCAATGTTCTGTGCCGAAAACAAGACCATCTGAAACGAGATTTGAACTGTCAATTTTACTCGTAGAGGTGCATCAAATAATTATTGTATCATAGAAGTCTTTGACCATGGTTGCACGCACATATATTTAAATAATTTTAAAAAAATATACGCCCGGGGCTACTTGTACTATATATATCTTCCTTTTCTAATACTAGTAATTGTGTGTCCTCACCAATATGCTTAGAGAAACCAATAATCTGCTATTAGCACTATTCATCAGGCAAATATAATTGTGAACCACTGCTTTAGGGAAGGCAATCAAAGTTGCAGATTGTGTAGCAAAGTTTGCTACTTTTACTAATGAGAGCTTAATCCTTACTCAAATCATATCAGAAACTCTCTAAAAATGCTAAAGGCCCTTTTCTTTTTTCTTTTTTTGTTAGTTGAGTTGTATAGGAAGTAGGACTTGACATAAACCTCCCTTTAATTTCCTGCTTTTGTGGTGATGGAATCACCGATGTTTTATTATTTCTCAAATACAACACTACTTAGACTTCTATCTGCGAAACTTTCTTTTTTCGTCAATTCCTTGACTTTTTGCTGCTGAGTCCTAAATTTGTTTGATGGTATATATTGAATACAAGAGTTTAATAAGGGAAATAAATTTGTTTTTCATACACACCGAACAAGCATTTATTAAGGGATTCGTAATGCATATAGTATTATTTTTATCGGGTATTGTATTAGGTTCACTCTATTGAAAATTGCATATACATTTTGTGCTTTAACTTGCGTTGTATAAATTTACAACTGTATCCACGGAGTTTTATGGGATTTTCTATTTTATTTAAATTGAAGATCAAAGTTTCAAGACCTTTTTTTCTTTTTCCATGGACGACATCACCTCCGGGGCGTACACAGAAATTTTTGTAAGCGGTGTCAAAATTTATAAAAGTATAAAATAATAACTTCAATTATTATACTTCTAGACAAGAAATATTCTCTTTCAAATATTTGTAGAAAAATGTGCTAGTTGAGGTTTGAAACTCTCATCTATTAGAGCAAAATAAAGCATATACCAATGCACCAAGAGATAATTTATGTCAAGTGATGTCATTTTTTCCTACTTATTCGATTTCTCACAATATTAATATATATATTTAGTAAAATATTTCGACGAAATGGTGTCGTGTGACACCGCTTCACTAAGAGTGCATCCACCCACCTGGTTATTAGTGTTAAAAAGAAATTCTAAAAGTAAGTTTAATCCAGATGGCTGCTGCAAGAGTAAGTTTAATCGCAATTGCAATTGCAATTTATTTATTCTGGATAGTTGTGAATCCATATCAAAGTTGTCCAAATTCATTCAGGTTGTGTAAATCCAGCATATCAAAGCATTGCAATTTACAGTTCTATAATCGCAAATAAATAAATAAAAACTAATACCAAAACTAGCCCAAATATCATTTTGTAACACATCTATTTTGCTAAAACACAAACATAGTTCAAATTTGAGACTTAAGCAATATTGTAATATTTTAATTCCTTTAAGTTGAAATTTAGAGAATCAAGCACCTTAACTCGATTTAGAAATTACTATTAAATATAATTTGTTGGATTGGGTCAAAGGATTAAACTAAAAGCGCCATGGACAGCTATTGAAGTTTGCTTAAACTTACAACAACAACGATCCAGTAAAATCCTACAAGTGGGGTCTGAGGAGGATAGTATGTACGCAAACCTTACATAATTGTTTTTTGTATAATTTTTTTAATATTAATTATCATTGGGAATGAATTGACGCCAAACTAGTCCAACTCACCTTCAAACTTCGTTAAATTTTATATATTGTCATATCTATGTGTTTTCAAAAATCACAATAATATCCATTGGAAAAAAAAATTACTTATATTTTTTGAATGTTATATATCATTTGTAATTATTTTTGGGCTATTTTTTGTAGCATAATTAAAATAGCTAGTTATTGATAAATAGTGTCTTTTTTTGGTACATTCTCGTACGATTTCCAAAAAAAGAAACAATACCAAAGGGATTGAGACGAAGAAAGTACTTTTAACCTAGTACAACTAATTAGATGATGCATTCATTCAAGTTGCAATGAAGCAAACCAAATAAACAACAATACATTACCTTAAAGGCTTAAACTAACATGGTGGGACCCATCTTTTGTCATTCTCTATTTGGGAATATTCTTAAAGGTACTCCCCCCCNTTCCGTAAACTTTTAAGACCACATATTTCAAAAGTCTTTTTTTTTTTAAAACTTTGTGATAAGTCAAACTAAATTGAACTAGTTATTAGGGGCTTCTATTGAAACATTACAAAACAGTTGTGATAAATCTTGACTACTCTTAACTTTTGACCGTTCGGTTACAATGATGTTATTGTTAAAGAATATTGATATGCCTCTTGATGTTGTACAAAGCACAACGTAACACTTCCGGTGAATAAATGAGAAAGTTTATGCCAATCGAATAAATATATGCCAGTGCATAAGTTTTTTCCATGCGCAAACACTATAGCAACATAATTATATACTTTGGGATTTCCTTTAATCTGCCTCAAGCAAGATAGGAGTTACAGAAGAGCTAAAGAAAGATATAAAAGAACAGGTTGATCATAAATAAGTAGCTATAGTATGTCATATTGTGAAAAAATCACATCAAGGTTTTTATCATACCATCTAAAACTGTACCTGGTAAAAGAGGCATTTGTACGATACATCATACAAATACAAATTAAAAAGAGGAAAAAAGATACCTTTGTCAAATGTCAAAACCACAATGAATTCTTTATGTTGTGAATAGTTAACGAGATTGCCTATTGGTAGAAACTAGAAAACCACAGTCGTATACTCAAAATTTGCATTTGGAACTCACATCTCCTATAGTATCTTTTCATTCTCTTTAGTGTATAAAATCTCTTCATTCTCTTTAGTGTACAAAATTTTCCCTCAAGCACAAACTACTGGTTAGAAAAAAGAAGGAATGGGAATGGAAAAAGGTTGTGTTTGTATGAGCTGATTGAGGTCAGTCTATGAAAGTGAAAATATTGACCAAGGGCGGAAATCAAGAAAGCTGGAGAGCAATCTGCTGAAGAAGTACCTTCTTTTGAGCAGCAGTTATGAGATCTTTACATTCAGCATCCACCAAAACCTCTGTCATAATTGCAGCCGCGTGACCTCTAGGCCCGTTGGACCCTGACGCCTTCTTCAGCATGAACATCTGGAAACAAACAGTATGGAGATTTAAGAGGCCAGATTGAAATAAGAATTAATCCTTCTAAATTTGATCCAGAAATTCCCTTTTGAATTTCAATGAGAAAGACAATTAACTCAGCAAGCGAGTTACAAACACATTTGTGCTGAAACTTGAAAGTTGCATAAAACTTTGGATGGAAGCATATAACTGGAAATTATTTTCATAGATCACAACTAGAAGAAAAAGTCTGAGAGACATAAATTACGACATTTTAGATGAAATACGGAAAATTATTATTTGTGTTTGACACTTCAAAGAAGTTATATCCACATGTAGAGGAACCCAATGTTGTCAAAGGCGATTATTTGTGTTTGACACTTCAAAGAAGTTATATCCACATGTAGAGGAACCCAATGTTGTCAAAGGCGATTATTTGTGTTTGACACTTCAAAGAAGTTATATCCACATGTAGAGGAACCCAATGTTGTCAAAGGCGATTATTTGTGTTTGACACTTCAAAGAAGTTATATCCACATGTAGAGGAACCCAATGTTGTCAAAGGCTCATTTAAGGCGCGCTTAAGCTGTGAAGCTCAACAAAGCTCAGGAAGGGTGCTTCGCCTCGCTTACGATGCGCTTCAGTGTAGGCAAGGCACTAAGGCGTGTGCCCTCTTGCCCATGAGTTCTATATTGAATCGAGAGTACTAAACAACAAATATAATTTGCAAATAAGTGTATTAGTTGTTGAGGAAAACATTATAAATGAACTTGTTTCTTTTTTTTTTTGAACTACACATAATTATTTTAACTTTTTCCTTCATTGCGCCTGTTTTAATAAAGCCCGCACTTTAGTTGCGCTTTGCGCTTAAAGCCCCCAATATATCTGGAGGGCTTTTTAGAGCTTCTTGCCTTTGACAACGCTGGAGGAACCGAGATTGCAATGTACCCTGAACTCAAAATGCTAGTAGAAAGGAGATAATTAGACACTACAAGCCTCTTCTGTAAAGGTAATAGAATTAGTTGGATTGTAATTCATGAAAATTGATAAATCTTCAAGCACCATTAACATGGAGCAGTAACTATTTCAATCAAAAGAAATAAAATCACCCAAAAAAATAGCTTGCGTGCTTTACAGCAGAATACCAAGCTAGACTAAGAGTGAGCTGGGCCACCTTAGGATGTCACAACAATTTAGGGTGAAATAACTACTAAATAAATAAGCTTAGATTTACTCATATGCATCAAAATGTGGAAAGAAAAGGGCACACAACCCATTTTGTGGTGTCCAATTTATGTTGAGTTCAGCCTTGTGCAGCATTTAAGTGTAAAACCAGAAGAAAATAGATACTAATACCATGGTATGCTCTTAAAGCAAATAAAGATGGGTATTTTGAAGTTATCAACAACCTGACTCTTTGTAAAGTCAAACGCCATAAGCAAATAAAAGTTTTCCCATTCTTAAATCTACAGTTTCAGAAATATCCATTTGATCAATAGTCAGAATTCAGGCCAGACACATACCAAGATCAAATCATAAAAATATCAGCACCTACTTCATTAATTTGTATATAACGTCCTGTCATTTCAGGATTTTTGTGAACTAGACCAAGGAAATTTAGATACCTGTTCATGATGTGTTATTTCTAAACAACCCGGTTGCTGTATGAAAGGCTCCCCATCAATTTGAACGGGGAAAGGACTAGAAGCATGTNACATACTTAAATTTGGATATTCAAGAGAGAAGTTTCAAGAGTAAGTGCCAGGGAAGCAGGCACCTAGTCCTCAAGAGTGTTCAATGTCAAAAGGTTGATATGTAAAGATCCAGATAACACGTTACACACAGGTACATAACAAGGTGATAAAGACACGTTTACATGTAAGTATTATTTGGTTATCTACATCTGTTTATGTAAACCATGAACCACAAATTTTATCATTGAATGTTGCTGCTTTGAAGGTCTAAGTTTTTCAGAAAGGATGCAGCTTTTCCATGACATTAATTAAGAAATCCAAAATATTCTAATAAATCCACATCAGCATCCAAAAGCTGTACAACAAGAGAAGCAGGGAAGCAGAAGGCAAGAGGAAAACAGCAGGGCAAGGAATCACGTTTTCTTGCCCTTTTTCTCTTCTTTTTTCTGTCTTCTCCAAAGGCAAAATAACCAATCTACTTTAATTGGGTGACAGCCTGATAGGAAATTCCATACTCGTGTCTCCTAATCGTGTCAGGTTGACATGGCACATGGGTGGTTCAGGCAAAGCAACTCCATGTGTGTCTGATATGTGTGTGTGTGAGAGAGAGAGAAAGAGAGAGAGAGAGAGAGAGAGAGAGAGAGGAATTTTTTATAGAGATTTTTGGTGGGCGGAATAAGTTTGCTTAAATTTTGCTTCTTCAATTGTTTAACAAGATATTTCTGGAATTTGTTAACTCATTCCAAATGGTCAAAACCAAGTTGCTAAAGAAGAATTTTCACACTCTTCGTAGTCTTAGTGAGAACAATCAATTGCGAGCAGAAAGGCAAATGTTAAATCTCCAAGCCAAAGATCACATAATGCTATATAACGGAGGACTAACATTGACAAGAAAACATGTACTATTTAAGAAGGAAAGAACAATAAGAGGGGAGAATTCGCTTTGACTAAACTATTCCCTAGATACACATGTCATGTTATTTCGCAATTGAATCAATTTAGAAATTTAAAACAGAAATCCAATCTACAAGAAAATCTTCCAACACATGCTAAAATTCTTAGATGGGTCAAAAGCAAAAGTGAGAATTTGATGAATAGATAGAAAAGAAGAAGCTTTCCACACCTGTAGCTTGCCAAGGTGCCATGCTCCAGAAACACTAACAACTTCAAGTACTTTGTCATGCATCGACTGGTCGTTGAAGTCATCGTCATGCTCGAAATCATTTTGCCACAGATCAACTCCACCCATATAGCTACCGATATTCAGCACAATCAAGCCCTCAGTATCCTGATCGAATTATAAATAAGGGGATTGATTAGGAATTACAAATGGGAAAGCAAGAAAAAGTTTGACTTCCAGATTTTGCAATGTGTATACCTTGGGGATCTCTACGTCCTTCCCATCAACTTCAAGCCATACTTGCCATGGCAAATCTGCACAAGTTCTGCCCATTATATCTCTAGCACCTTCTTTTGCATATCGCAATTTATTTACAAACTGTAGGAGAAACTTGATTAGACACACACACACACAACACAAGCAGTAAATTGTGAGATGAATTTAATTAATATGGAGAGAAACTACAGCATAGTGATCTATTGACAACATGCAATCAGAATCAATTATCTTCAACAATGTCCGCTAAAGATTTGCCATTGTTTTTCTACATATTATTTCCCATTGAAATATATGGGCAACTGGAAAAAAGATTCCCAAGGGCATATAAATATATAGGCTCACATATTAAGTTATAAAACAACTGTAGCTTAGAGATCACTGAGGCACAAAATGGCATGTTCATACCTGACTATTAAACTTCTCAGGGTTTTCTTCCCTGTTCATATGAAATTCATATGCAACCTTTGCATCACATCCTATACCTGTAGCAGAAAAGCTTCCAGTAATTAAATATATCCAAAGGTACCAGTTAAAGGACATGCACGTGGTGCCTAGAGAGCGCATTGCTGATATAGTGATATATATGCTAAAAGGCAGGTCCAAGCATCATATATAAAATTAGCACAAATAGAAGGGTCTTTTCATTGTTTTCTGGGCTAGCATCAAAAGCCCCCTTCCCCCCATCCTATGGCAGGCAAATGTCATCCAAACCCCAAATCAAATAAGAAAACAAGTCATAATGTGGAAACAGATGGAAGTTTACCCAAGTAATTCAGCATGAACTTTGATTGCACATTAGGGGTGTCGTGAGCAGATTTTTCTTCAGTTATGTTGACTTTCCAACGATCAAGCATTGTAACGGCAGCATGG